CTTAGGTGCTTCCACGCAGCTCCGCCCACTTTTTACACCATTTCGAGAATTGGATAGAATGTAGCAGATCATGACGGTTATTTGAATGGAGTTTATTCAGCACTCAGTTTGTTCTCTGTTCCGTTAAACAGCGGATTAACAATCGTAGATTGTTGTTCTATTGTATTTTCAACTTGTACTGTTGTTGTGGAGACTGCTATTTTGATTGGTAGTAATCTGACAATATCAAATACACTTGTACGATAATGGTCACTACTCGTCTTAATTAGTGGAAATACTGCGTTAGAGCCATTTTGTTTTGATAGCGTGTCATCTAATTTTCTTTCTGACTGTTTATTTTGTTGCTGTTGTTTGTTAATTTTGACGGAATTACGATCGTTGACTTGAAGGGAGGGAAAACGTGTATTTCTCAACAAACCAAATCGTGATGGGCCATGTTTATGACGAGATTCTTCCTGTTTCAATATTTCCTGTAATGTTTGGCCAGCATCAATAAATACACGTTGAAATAAAAATTTTGTCAAACGTTTTTCATATTCATTTGGATCTATCACGCTAGAGACAGAAAAAACGCCCGTAAGCTACAAAAACAGTTTTGTTTAGATACACACAATTCTCTTTACTGACCTATATTGACTTTTACGTTCCCGATCGCGAAGATTTTGTAGCATATGTTGAAACTGTTTGACATTATCATATGTTTGTAATATGTCAATAAAAGCCACATACAATAAAACACGATGTCCTTTCTCTGTCACCCCAGGAATAGCTAAATAAGATACAATCGTATTTTGTCTGTAATTTTTCTGCTCAATGTCTGCAAAACTTAAACTCTAGCGACGTAGCTTGTCTGTTTTTCGGAAAATTAATTTTAATAGTTTCATCCCATAGAGAGATGTTTGTCTTTTCTAATTTTCCTTGGATTCTCATTACATCTAAAAATCTTGTTTACTTCTCAGAATTGATTCTTCATGAGATCTTAGAAAACTTTCTTACCTAGTAATTGTTTTGCTGCTGGTACATCGTCAAATGTTGGTGCTATCATGGATTGGATTAATTTTAGCGGCTTCATTAGAAAATTTTCCATTTTCAATGAATCATTGTCATTTTTGCTGGATGCTGATGAAGTTAAGATGACTGTTTCCTCAACAGTTGTCGTAGTAGATACTGTTTTAGTTAGCTGAGTTTGTGACGATGATTTTGATACGTCTTTAACTGGGTTTCGTATATTTGTAGTGAAGAATAGTGTGCTGATGCCTAATTCTGATCGTTTAACATTATTATCTCGATGTTCATAATCAAGATGATGAATGCCAAGCATCAGTGAATAATCCGTTATATTCATTTTTTTTAATTCTTTGATATCTGATTGTAAAGCAGACTTTAACGAATGGTAGATATCGGATGGAATACGGATACCTTTTGGATAAAATGATTCAAAATCCAAATCTTTTAATGCTAAAAATAGATAAAGAAGTATATTAAGTTTTTGATAAGAATATAGTGAAATTAATTGTAATTATACCTTTTAATCTCTTTTCCGGCAAAGCAACGGTGGATAATCTTCCGACAGTTGACCCTTTCAAATCATATATTTCATGTACATCATTCACAGTTGGTAAATTATTTACCATAACAACGATATATATCTCTGTTGTAAACAGTGTACCAATTCGAATACTATAGCAGCCGACATATCTCGTCATAAGTGTTGGAATTTGACTATAACGTAAATGAAGTTCATTCAGTATTTGGATTAAATATTTGGCTTCATGATTACGCAGAGTTTTCAACACATAGACAGCATCAAATGTTTTATACATTTGACTTCCAGATTTTCCCGTATTAACAAAATTAATTAAATCACCATCGGCAAATGATGCACGAAAATTTTGCCGTGAAATTTGAATACTTTCACGTAAGTTTTCAAATGCTACTGGAGCTAAATTTGTGATTTCAATGGTTGTTGTTTTGTTACTCGGTTGTTCTAACACTTCATATTGTTTTGTGCGTGTTGAACGAAATACATTATCTTTTGTCATATTTGTATGATCAATATCAAAAGTATCAAGAAAATTGATGATTGCATTACGTAATGTTTTACCAATGATATTTGAGTTAGTGGAAAATGCTGATTGTTGCATAGGTGATTTGAGATAAGATAATATATTTGAATCAGTTGAATTCCATGCGTCGACATTAATAACCCCAAGAGTTTGTGATAGATCGCCTGGAGACACATCAGAAATTTTTGTATTACTCATTTTATATAACTACAATCTAGAAAGTGAAAAGTCAGACATTATTACACACTTCTCTCTGCTCATTAAAAATATATAACTTAACTACCATGGAAAGACTTCTATATGTCAAGAAAAAGCCCGTATTAATATCGACTATGTATGATAGAGCGTGTCATATGGTCAAAATGTTGACTTATCTGTCTTATAATCGCAACGAATAGTCCGTTCAAAGTTTTAGATATCGTCGAAGTTCAAAATGACTGAATTTGGTTTGAAAGGATTCTGAGAAATTTATCGAAAATCACGATTGTTTGTATTTGATTAATTTTTCCTTCGTTCTTCATTTTAATAATCTGAATTATAGAGTTTATGAGTTAAAAGAGCAATAAAGCTGAAATTTCCGCTATGTAACGAACGACAAAATACCTGCAGAAAACATCAAATTTCAGAAAATGTTAAGGGGAATAAATGTGTCACTTTAGTCTGCCATTTTATAGATACGTATTGAACTACATATATGGCAAAAATTTTAGATCCTTTAAGCATTCGCCACCTGAATTATGAAGTTTTTGAACGTTTTCTTTTTTACGTATTTCGTTGGGAAATCAAAAAGACTTGAAGAACACATCTGACAAAGGATTTTGGAACCATGAATCTGGACCAGAAAATGTTCGTCTCATTGAGATTTGTACTCTAAAGTTTTGTGGCAAAAAAATGATTTGTCGTTCCTGAGTTTTTCAGTTCAAATTGAAGTTTTTGATTTTCCAGCGGAAAACAAAGAAAATTAAAAAATTTAATGTTTTAAATTTAAGAGGATTCTACCAGTTAATAGGGGCTCCAAAATTCGATTCTGAACAACTGTTGCACTCAGAGTTTTCAAAATGCTTGATTCGGGCGAAACTAGCCGTAAGGTAGGTAAAAAAGTCTTCAGTGAGCCAGAAACCAGCGATATTTTCAAGTTTTGAATTTTTTCTTCAAGCCTTCCCGGTTTCTAGAGAACACTTCAAAGAGTATATTCAGAAGTTTTTTCGGCTTACCGAAATTATTTGACTGAGAAAAAAATTAATCACTTAAAACAATATTGTTAAATTTTCGACTTACCAGACTTATCGAGCCACCAAAAACGAATTCTAAAATTTCTAAGATAGTTCATACTGTAACCCGTGAAATTCTGCTTGAATCTTTTTGTTGCGTTGCTATTTTACAAATAAGACTCTATGCTAGTAGAGTAGGCTAAATTAACGTTAATTAGTACTAATTAGTCAATATCAGGAAGGAAAAAACAAAAATTCTTGCATATTTTCTGGTAATAAATATTCTTCACACATTTCTCTGTCGATCTAGGCAAGAACCAAGCTTTTGTGATAAATGGAGAATGGACGGGAATTTTTTTAATAATAATCCCTTGTTTAAACATTTAACAATATGTTTTTTAAGTAATTAATTTTTTTCTCAGCTAAATAATGTCAGTATGTCGAAAAAACTTCAGGACATATACTTCGAAGTGTTCTGTACAAACTGGGAACGTCAGAGGAAAATGTAAATAGGAACCCCACCCCTTAAGTCTTTATTTTAAGGTGCATGTGATTCAATGGCTCAGCACTAATTTTTCCGATGAATCACGGATTGTTGGATAGAGCTCATCGAGCTACATCGGAATATATATGTTTTGACCTTTGGAAATAAATCTGGGAGGAGAAAATTTTGAAAAACTGAAAGTTTTACTGTAGCTCAAAAACCGACAGGATTACAACAAAAATGATTTTCGCATTTCCTTTATTATTTATAGTTTTTGGGTTTTTCTCGTGTTATTAAGCATAAAACACTGAATCAGAAAACGTGAATTCGATATCGCTCGCATATAACGGAGACTGAAGCTAGTGAACGGCTTGTCTAGCTAACGATCCCCTTTTTTCGCTCATTTTCCAAAAAAATTTAAAATTGCAACTAGATAATTAAGTAGATTAAACATTTCTCTACAAAATGAAAAGTGTCTCGACTCTGAATGTTGATTCGTTATGAAAATACAGCTGTTGTACAAACAGCTCAAAAATTCGATTTTGGGGCTATTTAAAAACGTGTCTAAAAGTGTGAAGACGAGTAGGTGAAAGTTGAACAAGTATATCAGTTTGTAGAAAGTTGTTTGCTCTACAAGATATGGTAGTTTTTTAAGTTCGAGACTATTCTAATTAAGCTGTATTAGTCAAAGAAAAACCATGACGCTGTGATAAAAAACTGGTCAAAAGTGTCATAGCGTTACGGTTTTTCTTTGACTAATACAGCTTAATTAGAATAGTCTCGAACTTAAAAAACTACCATATCTTGTAGAGCAAACAA